ATAAAAGAGCCAAGATTGCCTACTCCTGGAAGGTGCCTGGTACACAGACTGGAGAAGATAAATGTATCGAATTGCCATAAGACGCGCTAATTTTAAATTTGGCAACTAATTCTCAATGCGTTGACACCGAAAGCCCAAACAGAACCTCAACTTTCCATTTCTACGTTTTCCTCTGTTTTACACCCCTGTCTGATCTCACGTTAGAGAACTGGCGGAAGTGACGATGCGTTGGTTACCGCGGCCCATGCACGAGACCTAATGTTTCCGGGTCACGTGGCGGAAATCCGGCTAGTTGGGTGCGGCAGGGCGCCGAAGAGCTGGGCCGGCTCTCTTCTCCCAAGATGGCTTCTCTTCTTCAGTCAGACCGCGTCTCCTACCTGGTGCGCGGCGAAAAGGAGATCCGCATGCCGCTTTCGCAGCTGTATTTCTGCCGCTACTGCAGTGAGCTCCGTTCCCTCGAGTGTGTCTCGCATGAGGTAAATTGGCCGTGTTAGAGAGCCTGGGGTGTGTTTGATCGCACGCCAGCGGTGTGGATTGGCTAACCCTGCTGCCACTCGTTAGTCCCCCTTCATCCAATTGGCTGAGGGATGTGTGCCCCAGTGCCCGTTGTTCTGATTTGGAGCTCGAGAACAGAGCCTTGTCAGTGTCCTTTTGTACTGCCTGGGCTAGGTGGAAAGGGAATAATTCTGGGTAGGAAGAGATTTATAGGAAGGGTGGAGGAATTTTTTAGCATATGTATTTGGAATAACACTTCTTCCCCTGCTTTTCCTATGTAAATTGCCACCACTCATTGTTCAGACATAATATGTTGTGCTTCCCAGTTGGTTACTGTTGCATCCTTTAATCTGTTTAAACCACATTCTCATTCTCCCCCTCCCTACATTTATATATTTATGTCATGTCTGCCTGCCTGCCTGCCTCTGTCCAATTGGACTCTAGGTCAGTGTTTCTCAACCTTGACAATTTTAAGGCATGTGGACTTCAACTCCCAGAATTCCACAGCCAGCAATGCTGGCTGTGGAATTCTGGGAGTTGAAGTCCACATGCCTTAAAATTGTCAAGGTTGAGAAACACTGCTCTAGGTGATAATGTTATAATCAGGTACTATTACCCATCTAACTGTATGAAGCTTGTATTTGCAAAACACAGTGGGCAATTATGAGTGGACTACAAGCTTGATTCATAGTGTGGGGCCTGTAAGTTGCAACATTCTTGGGGATGTATTTTATGATATGCAGCAGAAAAAAATGTCCCGCTTCATTTTAATTTTAGATTATTTTTTTTTAAAAAATGGGACACTAGGGTGCTGCAAAGCACAAACAGTATTCCAAAGACTGCTTCTAGTCCCCAGATATATTCTGGAGGCATTCTTAAAAAGCTGAAAATGATTGAGGACTCCAGTGTTTTGCTTTGAAGTATGTCTGCATGTCCAGAAAAGGGTAGTAATACACAGTTATGATAGAGTATCCTGAAAGACTAAAAAAAAAGAGTGTGCCAAGGAATAAACTCACCTGTTTCTGTCTAGTACATTGATTTTTGTGTGAGCATTCCCATGACATTTTCTCAAGAGTTCCAGATGTGCTGTCCAGTTTGCAAAGCTAGGGGGGCCCTTGGAATTCAGTACTGTATTTTGTAATACTGAAAATCAATTTATTAAACAATATTATTCAGCTACAATTTAGAATTAATCTTTTGATCTTCTGAGAAGTGAGTGCACCAATAAAAAGATGCAGCTTTTGTTCAAATTTTATAGGGGTTCCCAAATTTAAACAAGTGTTCCATTGGTTAAACACAAAATAGTAAAAGAACTCTGCTGCTCCCAACATTCTAGAAATGTCTGAAGATGAGACCCTACTTCCTGCACTTAATTTTGGCATTGTTTGGGTTGCAGGCCCAAGATTGTAAACACCTGTTTTTTAATCCATTTTATTGTGTATGGACATGAATGAAGAAGAATATTTTACTTTTTAATCTTACTCTGTTACTGTAGTATATTTTTGAATGTGAACCAATTTCCATTTTAAAACAATCTATAAGCACTGAACAAGAAATATCTTAGTCATTATGATTAAGTGGTCTTAATCTGAAGTATTAGTTTTTGAATTACTTATTTTTCAGTTGTTCAGTTTTGACAAAAAAGCTAAAGAATAATTAAAGAAGGCAACAAGCTATTGGAACCCAGTTGGATAGGGAAATAAATTTTAAGAATTGGTTCATGACAGGACAGATTCCAAATTTGATCTTTGGCATCTTCTGTTCAAAATATTAATAGCTGAGAATGAAAAAAATTTCTGCTAGAAAATTCATGGAATCACTGCTGATTTTAAGTTTGTTTTTCATCTCAGTTATAATGCCAATTTTAATTGTCATTAATAATCCTGGGGATTGTACTTTAATGACAATGCTGACTATTTTTCTGGTACAGATCTAAATTTCCTCTCAATAATAATATCTAGAACAGAAAGAAATGCTGCATTGTCAGCCCTTCTGAATCACCTTATGCCTCCTGAGCATGACATTTGATGTTACATTTTAATATTTCATTTTAAAATGAGATAAATTTTCTCCACAAGCATCAAGATATATATTTGGAAACTAGCCAGGAGAGGCAGACGTCTTATAAAGTTTTTCTGCCATTTGGATCGTACCTCTACAATTAAAATGCCTATGTAATCTTTGAGAGCAAAATCTGAAATAACAATAATCAAATTTAAGGTTTTGTGGTTTATAAATCAGTCTTTTGGATATTGTCCTGTCCCAGCCCCTAAAAATCAAAATGTCTTTTTTGTTACAAAGATAAGAAGCAGCACTAGTTCAAGTGTAGTGGTGAAGAAAGATGACTTTTAAAAATTATTCTATAGGTGGATTCTCACTATTGTCCCAGTTGTTTGGAGAATATGCCTTCAGCTGAAGCCAAGCTGAAAAAAAATAGGTAAGGCTACATTCTCCCCTCTTTCTTTTCCTAAAAAAATTCTTTTGTGTTTTTCATAATCTCTTTATATTTGACCACATACTTATTTAATTTGATACCCACTTTGAATTTGATAGTACAGGTAGTCCTCGATTTATGACCGTAATTGAACCCAACATTTCTGCGGCTGAGACATTTGTGAGGGGGGTTTGCCTCATTTTACGACTTTTCTTGCCAGTTGTTAAGTGAATCACTGCAGTTGTTAAGTTAGTAACACGGTTACCCCATGGTTAAGTGAATCTGACTTCCCCATTGACTTTGCTTGTCAGAAGGTTACAAAAGACACTACAACCGGCTGAATTTTGATCATGTGACCATGGGGATGCTACAATGGTTGTAAGTGTGAAAAACGACCATCAATCACTTTTTTTAGTGCTGTTGCAACTTCAGAAGTTACAGCAGCACTGAAAATTGTTGTAAGTCGAGGACTACCTGTATAGAACCTTAACAGATTGATTATGACAAAATCTGAAGGGTTATGCATGACAGGATTTTTGTCTTTTTATAAAGGAAAAGATAACATGAATTAGCTTCCTGTTGGTTGTCTCAATGAGTTTTTCTGAGCCAAACATACTATTTTAAATTCATTGTTAGGAGGAATTTTTGAATTATATGTACATTTATAAATCAAGAACCTTGACTCCAATTTATATACAGCTTTTAATTTCAAGAAATCAATATGGTTTACATAATAATGAGCATTATCACTCTAAGAAGGCAAATACGATCAACTCCATTCAATTAAAAAGCTAATACTGGTGTCTTCTTGCTTAGGTGTGCTAACTGTTTTGATTGCCCTTGCTGTATGCATACCCTCTCTACCCGAGCAACAAGCATTCCTGCTCCATTGCCTGATGATCCTGCTAAGACTACAATGAAAAAAGCTTATTATCTGGCCTGTGGATTTTGCCGCTGGACATCCAGGGATGTTGGCATGGCAGATAAATCAGTTGGTGAGTGTCATATCTAAAATAAATGGGAGAAAAAACTCTACATATTATGCACAGTTATTGGTCAAAAGGGGAACATTGTTGTATTATGCTGAAAACTGGTAGTACACACAGAAAAGGATTTACAGAATTTGAATGGAATTAAGTTCAGTGACTAGTGGGGTCTTTGCCTTTGCCACAAAAAGAAATGTGCTCTATAAATATGTGCGATGCCACTTCAGTTGATAATGAGGGTCCCCAAATACTGTATGTTATTGAAATAATTCCTATTGAAGGTATTTAAACATTTTGCTGGCTTGGATCAAAAGTTTATTTTGTCCAATTTTAGCACCGATTGGAAAATATTTTTCTTTGCAACGGACATTTAGAGGTAGCACTATCCAGCATGACTAATTGGTTTAAGAGCCTGAGTCATCATTAATTCTTTTAATTTCTTTTTCAAGACATCTAAATTAGTGTCATTATATATGAAGAAGTAAACTCCATAATTAAACTGCATGCTTTTTTGTCCTAATTTCCCCACTATTCATTATTAGCAGATGAACCAGGCTCTAGTTTTATGAGAGACAACAAAGGCCTGTTTTGTCCACACTCTTCACACTATACCTACAAATCTTCGATATCTTTTCTTCTGAATGAAATATTCCTGAATTTTGTAAGATAATTGCTTCTTTCCATAATAGTTGTGCAAAAAGAAGCTGATGAATAGTAGAACAAAGCAAAAGTAAAACAATGGGCGTAATTTCATTCATTTCAGCAGTACAGTCTCTTATGCTGATCTTTTCCAATGGTTCCAAAATTAGCAGATGCTAGAGATTCCTAACCATAAGACATATAAGAATGGGAACCCTTATTTTTTTATTTTTATTTTTTAATTGAAAATTTTTAAAAGTTTTACAATATATCTCCCCACCTCCCTCAAGCCCCACCCTTTCCCACCCCCCTCCCTTCCCCCCCGACTTCCCAGAGCTACACACAGGGTTTACAATACAATAATTATACTCTGTCTTAAATTATATTACCCTTAAGTTAACAATTCTATAACATCCTTT